GAAGGGGATACTGTCTCATTATATGCACCTTCATATCTTCTGAATTTTGTATCAACTTTAAATATGTTTGTTGGGCTGAGGATATAGCTCAGCAGCACAACGCCTACCTGGCAAGTGGAGGATCTTGAGTTCGATTCCTGGTATCAAAAATTTGTTTAAATATATATATACATATATATATTTGTTAAAAATAATTTGTCAGTGTATATCAAAAATATTGCATGCGTATGACCAACAGATTATCATGTATCCTATAACTTACAACATGGAAATATATATATATGTCAAACTATTTTATAACAGCTTTTCTTGTACCATTATTTGACACCAGGATGTCAACTAGAAAGTTATAATGCATTCATAAAACTGAACACTACATAAAAGTCCTGAAAATATTTTGTAGAAGCAAGTTTATCAATATGAAAAAATTCACAGTATAACACATGGGGGAAAAGGAGGTCACAAGAGGTATAGTATTAGAATATTTTTATTTAAAAAGATACAAACAAGTCTGTAAGAATGTAGAGAAATATGATGAATAAGTATTCCTGAGTGGTGAGATTATGGCAAATTTTCATTTCATTTTCTTTTTTGGATTATTTGTATGCTCTTCAAATGTCTGTAACAAACAGATGCTTCTTCCAAAACAAAGAAAACAAACTCCAATTCCACCTCCACCTCATCCTGTTTATTGAGAAAGCCTAACATCTTCAACACATACACACAGGTATGTACAGCTTGTCCTACCTTAGCTTTATTATTAGCCTTTCCCATTTGACATATCCAGTGACAAGGTGACGAATTCTCTTTTGTGATATCCTGCCAAAATCTTCACCATCCTTGAAGGCCAATACACAACACCCTTCTTCACTCCCTCATCTGTGCTTCCAAGGCAGACGATAATTATTATACACTTTAAAGTACCATGTTAATCCTGCCCATTCCAATATCTTATATAAACAGAGAACTAGAAGTAGAAATAGTTCTCCATATACCTTCTTCACTTCCTCACCTGCACTCCCAAAAGCAACACTTTTCCCTATATTCCTCTATAATTTGCGATCAACAATGTTTGTTAATTGCACCTTAAAAAATTAACTACTTATGTGTGAGACTTTATCTCTCTTAGGTGACTATAAGTGTTAAGATTCTTTACCCTTGTCTAATTCATGAAGTATCTTTATATCTACCCATCTTTTGTTCACACAAGATTGAGGAAGAAGGTCTATATTTACTTAACAGCAACTGTGTTAGTCAACATGTTTGAGCTTTGTATAAATCAACTCACTTAAGTCTCAAAGCAGTCCTGAGTATCTATTTTACATATGAAAACACAATCTCAAAAAGGTTCTGTGACTTATTAATGTTCCAGGCTGGTAAAAGTGAAAAATGAATTTGATCAAACTCTGGTCTGTTCTTTCCATTACAAAAACATGATTGTGTGTTGACCAGTGAAGAAGACAGACACATGGATGCGCCACTTGAAGGCTTTCTAGTACACTCAACCTGCTACATAATACTTAGAAGAAGAGCAAAATCAGGATTGTAGAGGTGGAAGGGACCTTTGAGATTATCTAATCTGACCGCTAAATTATAGAAGACAAATATATTGTCTTTCACACACATTTAGTAGCTGAGCTAGGAGTGAAATCCAACTGGAGACAGGGTAATAATATGATTAAGATAAGGCCTTTGGAGTCAGATGAAATTGTTCAAATCACAGCTTGGTATTTAATGACTGTGTAAACTAGGCCAAAATTACAAAGCTTAAGCTTTGCCTTAGTTTTTTCAACTTTCAAAAGGAAGATAATAATACCCCATAGTGCTGCGAGGACTACACATTACACTGTACACTGCAAAGTAAGCACTCAATAAATATTAGATAGTCTCTGAGCTCCTGTCTCAGTTCAGCCTTCTTTGCAGGATACCACCCTTCTCTTATGGATGACTATGAAGCAGACCTTACAATGAAGGGTCAATGTGAGTAATAATAGATAAGCGTTCACTTATTTATGTGCCAAGTCCTTTTAGAACAATACATGCACAAACACTTTTTGGTAGACAAGTAACACTTTTAAAATGAATATTCACCCAACAAATGTTTATTGAGCTCCTACTACATAGCAGTGTTAGATGCTGAAAAAACAGATATAATCTGAACCTTCATAAGCCCCAAAACTTGACAAAAAGCAAAATATCTTTGAGATTTTCCTATGGGATATGCAAAAGCAAGTACATAATTAAGTCAATGGAATGTAATCAATATATGTCAGTATTTGAGATTAATTGTACATATATAGTGTGTCTTTCTGGAGAACAAGATATTCTTTAAATTCAATGTTATTTCTAGTATTGGTTGTTTTGATTCGATTTTAGTAAATGCATTAAAATTAGGCTATTGCTAGTTATCTATATAAGATATTAGAATGGGCAGGATTAACATGGTACTTTAAAATGTATAATAATTATAATCTGCTTGCAAGCTACAGCAAAGCTGAACAGGTCTGCCAACAATCAGATAATTCCTTCCAAAACATGAATTTGTGCTGATTCAATCACTCTCCACGCACACACACACTACACACACATACATAGAAATGTGTATGCAAAAAGCTGCTTTTGAAGACAGCTGACATTCTGGACCCTGAGTCACCAGTGTTATTGGTCTCCATATCTCTTGCTCCCTAGTTTTATGTTCATGTAAATTACAGGCATTTGAGGTAGTATGCAAAGTGGCCAATAATAAATGAAGAAATTACATTCTTCACATGTAAATGACATTATTTACATGTGAAAATTACATTATTCTCTGTGATGACTGTCTTAATTATGTTTCTCTCATTGTTGAGAGAAAACACCAGACACCCAAAGTTAAAGGGGGAAAGGTTTATTTAGCTCACAGTCTGTACAGGTTTCAGTCCATAATCAGCTGGCTCCAAGGCAGGGTGGCACATGGCAGAAGGCAACAGTTCATAGCAGCTGAAGACAGCAAAAGCAAGCAAGGGAAAGAAAGAAGGAACACGCCTCTTTCTGTCCCTTATAGTGTATGCAGGCTACCCGCCCTAGGATGAGTGTAGCACTCACACCCTTAATCTTAGCACTGGACCATGAATTAATCACAAACTCTAGATTTAGCCACCTGGGAAAGGCAAACTCCAACATGACTGCAGGAGGCTTTGGGGGCACATCTAGACACAAATCTTAACAATGATGAATACATTCCTTAAATTCCTTTATCTTCAAGTTTTGCTTTACAGTGACTTCTAAATGTGACATACTATTTATCCAATTTTGTCTGAGAGTAAAAAGAATGATTCTGTAAGGTTAATTTATGAGAGTAAGTATAGATTGTTGTAAAAAGAGCAAACAGTTATAGTCAGGTAGACTGGATTCAAATCTCAATTGTGCCTCTAATTTGCACAATGTGTGAGAAATTACAACCTCTTTAAGTCTCAGTATAAAATGACCACAAAATAAACAATTTTTCTTTGTTTTCTTCTTTAATCAAGAACTAAATAAAGGGCTGAGGATATAGCTCAGTGGCATAAGTGCCTGCCTGACAAGTGCAAGGTCATGAGTTCAATCCCCAGTACCGCCAAAAAAAAAAAAAAAAAAGACTTAAAGAACTAAATAAAATGAAGAACATAAATGGCTGATAATAGATAACTGTGATATGTAAAAGTGGTTGATCTGAATCACAAATCATGAACAGGGCTAAAAAAAAAATCCTTGTCTAAAAAGTAGTTGCTATAAGAAATAACATGTCATCTCCCTGAAAGAATTTTCAAATGGAAAAATAAAAAACATATGATTAAAAATGGCAATATTTAGATAGAATATTATAAAAGTTTGTTGGATGATTAACCAACCAGGAGGTTAGAAAGATCAATGTGTTATCCTAAGTATGTTGCACGACTCTCAGAAAGTAGTAAGAAACCTGCCTGATGCTTCAGGGGCCTTACTTTATGTTAGAAAAGTACCTAGATCTCTTTTTTGGAATAGGCTGTTTTAAGAAAACCTATCAGTTGCCTTTCATGTGAGGGTAGGTGGTGAGTGAGAACTACTTCCCAGGAGAAACTGTATTACCCAAGAACTAGAGAAGTCGCCAAAGTTACTACATCACATATTTCAACTCTCTGAATAAATGAGCCCCTTTCTTCACCTTACACCTTTGTCAGAAGCGATTTCTCTTTACAACTATTCTGGCTACCTTAAGCCGCCAACCAAAATTCTGAATCATTGAGAAACCTGGACCAAAGCGCGAGTCTTCCTCTGTCAAAGTACTTTCGGAAGGTAAAAGGTGCATTTAAATCGTAAGCATGGAGCTAGGGATTTAGCTCAGTGGCATAAGCGCCTGCCTGGCAAGAGCAAGGTCGTGAGTTCGACCCCTTGTACCGCAAAAATAAATAAGTAAGTAAATAAATCCTAAGCGTGAAATTATAAGGTTACCATTATCTCATTAGTTCATAGCAGTCACGGAAAAATTGCCCACTTGCGTCACTTAATTCAGACTACAGCAGAATCGTTCAATCAATTCCAACTGAGGAAGGACCTCCCCACACCCCACCCAGTGTTAGGAAAGGTCCTTTTCAGCCGAGTGCCGCCTCCCAGCCCGGCCCTCCAGAACTACGGAACAACACTCGGGAAAAGGATTGGAAAGCTGCTCTTGAGACTCGGAGGTGACCAAACCTTGCCAACGGGAGGCTCTTTGATCATGCGCAAACCCAGGGGCGGTACACCGTGTCTTCGGCCTCGCCCAGGTACCCTTGGGGACCCAAGATCGAGTCCCAAGTTAGCACAGATACTGCGAGTGCAGAAGCCGGTAGGACGAGATCCGAGGGCCTTCTCCAGCCACAAGAAAGGTCAAGAGTCACGGGCCTGGATGGGGACTCCGGGTTCAACCCTCGGCGCCTCACTTCTCGGTCCGGCCAAAATGCCGCACTGAGCCTCAACTGGCCGGAAATTCCAGGCCCAGAAGTCAACCCAGAAAAACCACTTACCGGTCTCCCACCGCCGGCTCAGGTCCAGCTGGAGCCGGACCCGCCGGGCCAGACTGAAGCCCTGCACCGTTTCGGGACACCCTGGCGACGGCTCCAGAGCGTCGCTGACAACCACCCGGAAGCGGTACAAGTGCTTCCGGGGCGGCCGAGCGCGCGGCGGGAAATTATTTCCCAGAGCCCGGATTAGTGAATCGGCGAGAGTTGCTGCGGCAGTCGTCGCGCCTTTCGCCGCCGCTGCCGCCACCGGAGGGAAGCAGCAGAGGCCCTTCGGCCAGGAAGGTAAAGGGCCGCAGCTCGGAAGACAGTGTGGGGCTCCTTTTCCCCCAGGCCGTGCCCGCGAAGTTTCTGCCGTCCCCGACTAGGAAGGGACTGGGGCGGGCGGCGGGGACACCTGGTTGTCGCGTTCCCTCAGGCCGCCTCCCTTCCCACCTTCCCGGCTCGCTGCGCTCGGAGCCAGCGCGGGTGGGCCATGGTCGCAGAGCGGGCGCCGAGCCGCTCCCTCGCTTCCGCTCCGCGGAGGGCGCCGGCGGCCCGCGTCCCTGGTTTCCATGGAGCCGGCGGCGGCGGCGCCTCGCCCTCTTCCCGGAGTCCTGGCCGCTGTCCCGGAGTTGGCGTCGGGGAAGGTGGCGGGGATCCCCCAGGCCTGCCTTCCTGGGACGAAGAAAACCATTTCGTTCCTTTTGCTCCAGTAAAAATTTTTGTTTAAAAAAAAAAATGCCCATGAGCGTATCTCTAGGGCCACATCGGCCCTTAAATACAAACTTGCACACATACGTGTTCCCTCAAGGCAGAGACTGTGTTCCTGGGGATTACAGCTCTGCTGCCTGAAGGCTGGGGACCGTGCTAAATGTTTATCTGCAGAGTTTTTCAGTTCCAAAGCCTCAGAAGAATTACTGACAAAAAAACTGATTTTCTTTAACACTCCCTATCAGTATTTGACCCTGAAGTTAGCTGGTGCTTCGTTTTGTACGCCCCAACCTCGCTTTTTTATGTATTTATTTGACGTGTGATTGGCAGTCCTCTTAAAAAACATTCCTGTTGACACATGGGAAAGGAAAGTTTCACCTGAGTGTGAGTGTGACTGACATTGCACCTGACAGACGTTTTGGTTCATGTTAGTCTGTTGTGCCTCGGTTCCTAGAAATATGCTGATGTGCTGGATGTTCGTGTTCCTGGAAAGTTTGTCTAACGTATATTACAGGTGTTCGATTCACAGTTTAGCTTGGAGTTGTATAGGAGAGGAAATTTGATTATTTCTAAGTCAAAGGTATTGTAGTTGAATGTGCCGGTTTGTTCAGTACCTTGAATGTTTATGTGCATTGTATTGTAGAGACCGCCTGCAGCAAGGTAAACAAACCTACTTTAGATTTGTTTCCCAAGTTAACATTTTCTTAATGCATTATGACCTCCTTGAAGTTCAGTTATGTAACTTAAAATTTTCTTGCTTCCTTAAAGCGGAAAGCATGTAGAATGTGAGTCTTTGGAAGGGGAGTCAAAATGCTGTTACTTTTCATAATCAAAATGAAGAACTCGGCTGGGCATCTTGGCGCATGCCCATAATCCCAGCACTCAGGAGGCTGAGGCGGGAGGATCTTGTGAGTTCGAGACCAACTTGGGCTCCAAAGTGAGCTCAAGGCCAGCCTGAACTGCGTTGCAAGACCTTGTCTCAAAAAACACCGAAAAAAAAAAAAAAAAATTAAGAACTCTTTAAGATTTTATTCCAGGTATCCACAGGTTTCACCAATACCCCTAAAACACTGTTTTTTAGAAAACCAATTGTATATCTTTATTAACTACATAACATTTTCATTAGTGTATCTTGATTATATTCTAAGATAATCTTTTCCCTTTAAATGGTTTTAAATAAAATAAATTCTATGGAAACTGAATAAAACCTAAAGGAAATGAAGAACCCTCTTTCTCAAAAAATAGAACCGAAGTGGAACATTACCTGTAAGGTAACTCTTCTAATTGATTCTTTATGCTCATGGAAAATACATATTGTAAATGTCTTAGGCGCTGTTTCACACCGAATAAGGACATAGCACTCCTTAAAGTAAAACATCCTTAGAATTCACTTAGTTTTTACTTTCCAGCAGAATTACTTTGAAATTAAAAACATACTGTTTTCATATTTTTTCATAAGAAACAAAAGAAGCCCACATGCATTACTCCAATTATTAATTGACCCCAAATCTGTTTTGAGAGGAAAATTAGTAGCCTCTGTTTTCCGTAAGAAAAAATATACTGTAACACTCTTTGGATTGTTCCTAGAAACGTATTGAAAATTTAGACATTGGTAGTTTTTTTGAAAATAATTATAATGCTTAAATATTTTTGATGTTGCTGACCTAAGTATGTTTCCACTCTTGTAGTGGGTTCCTTTCATCCAGTGTACCTTTTTCTTGTACTACCTGGAAATAGATTGCTTTGACAGTTATAATATGGTTAGGCGTTCTAGACTAAATCCTGAAATTTAAGTCAGGTTGGTATTGTAGAAAAGGTGTATCATTTTTGCAGAAATAGGCTTATCTTTGAATTTTGGTTTCACTGTTTTCCTAGTTATATATCCTTTAGTTACTTTCTTAATCTTCAAATTTCCCAATGTTGTCTTCTGTGTAAGAATAAGTAACACATTGTGAAGAGGGAAATGAACTGATATATGGTATGAAATGTGTAGACCACAGAAGCGCCGCAATAATAATTAAATCCAGCTTCTACAAATTTAGAAATCCAGCTTCTACAAATCCATTCAGCCTTAGACTTATGCTTTCTGTGAGGTAATCCAGAATTGCTAGGACACTAAAAGAGATTTGGTGACTAATACAATATCTATTTTTCATCCACTCTTTTCCTCTTGAACCTGTTACTTCCTGTCCAGTTTGCTTCCTTAACATCTTTTCAGCTGGGCATAATGGCGTACACCTGTAATACAAGCATTTGGGAGGCTGAGGCAGGAGAATCGCTGCAAACTCAAGGCCAGACTGAACTATTAAGCAACATCCTGTATTAAAAAGAAAGAAAGAAAAAAAGAAAAAACTCTCAGTCTAGCCTGTTCCCTATACAGTATCAGATAGACAGCATAGCCCCCATATGTTTCCTTGATCCCTCATTTCTTCCCCACCGTGGTCAGTTTGCTGCTAGTCCTCCATTTCCTCCCTAAATTTACCGTTGAAGGCACTGATGACTGCTCTGCTGTCTTACTGGTCTTGACAGTCTCTCAAGCCTCATCACTGGAGACCGCTATCAAATAATTAATTTATTTGATATCTTTAAAGAATGGGGCAAGAAGTAGACACTGCATCTTTTCTTAAACAGATTCCAAAGACCACCTGAATGAAATTAAGTACTGATTTGACTTCTAGGCCAAGAGGGACCAGAATTCCTAAAATCTTGCCAAAAGTATAGCAGTCAGAATCAAACTACTGGGGCTGCGGATTTAGCTCAGTGGCACAGTGCCTGCCTGGCAAACTCAAAGTGGTGAGTTCGGTTCCCAGTACCAAAAAAAAAAAACAGAATCAAACTACTCACCTAGTATTAGCTCTATGACAAGTTTCTACCTTTTTCAGTACTGTACTGCAGAACCACTGTTAATTCCTATCATTTTGTTTTGAAACTCTGTATCACATTTAATGTTCTTGCTTTGTTTTGTTTATATTTGCAATGTTGGTATGCTTCCATTGTTCCTTTTTCTTTTTCTTTTACTACTCTCTTTAAAATAAAAACCAAAACAAGTAGATCAGTACTGTGACCCTTTTCGATTTTAACAGGGATTTGTTTACTACTGCAATTAAATGTTGTGGATGAACTCTGAAAATCTTTCCAGCTCTTAATTCAAAGCAACAGTACTGATTGTATTCAAGGCTTGGTATATGCTTTCACAGAAGAGGAGAGTTTCACGGAAGAGAGGAGTTTCAAGTGATTTTTTTAATAGAATAAAAACATTAAAAAACAATACAGAATTTCAAAACAAGATGATAGGAGTCAACAGTGGTTATTATATTGCATATTGTTATCTTCAAAGTAGTTGCTCAGATTACCAGATATAGGTATGCAAAATTGATCAAAAAAATTAAGCACTAACTGTTCTTCTCAATAAACCAACAGAAACTAGTAGTACAATTATCTTAGCTATCTTATGTGTGTGTGTATATTTTTTTTTCTTTTTTCTTTCTTTTCTCCTTTCCCTCATCCCAGTTGTTCTTTCCTTTTGAGCAGTTTCTTTCCCTTTTGCAATGTCTGCTGTACCTTTCCGATTTTATTTACTCTTTCAGTTTTTTTACATTAGAGAGACAATCAGATGTTTACACATGTAGGTCTGATTTATGGCTTTCCACAAGCTGAAGACTAAAACTAGATCAATGTCTATTGCTGTGCACTAAACGAAAGTCAAAATGGATCAAAGATCTAAATATTAAAACAGAAACACGAAATGTACTGGAAGAGAAAGTAGGTAGAAATCTTGACACCATAGGGGTGGGCAGAGAGTTCATAAACAAAAACCAAACCACAGGAAATGCTTCAAAGAATCAACAACCAGGATCTCATCTTATTGAAAAGTTTTTTGCGCATCAAAAGAAATTACCAACAGAGTGAAAAGACAACCCATGAATTGGGAAAAAATTTTAGCCAACTGTCCCTCAGACAAAGGACTTCTATCTGGAACATAGGAAGAATTAAAAATCAGGCCCCCAAAATTCAACGACCCAATCCAAAAATGGGCATCGGAGATGAATACAGCTCAGATGAAGAAATAGAAATGGCAAATAAATACATGAAAAACTGTTTAACATCACTGGTCATTCAAGAAACGCAAATTAAAACAATTCTGAGATGCCATCCCACCCAGGAAAGAATGGCTGTCGTTAAGAAATCAACCAGTAACAAATGCTCAATGGGCTGTGGGGAGAAAGGAACCTTTCTCCCCTGTTGGTGGGAGTGTAGACTGGTACAACCACTGTGGAAATGAGTGTGCAGATTCCTGAAAAAAAATAGGAGTAGAGGTCCCATTTGACCCAACTATTCCCTTCTGGGTATTTTTCCAGATAAATTGAGAACATCATACCACAGCCATGTACGTGCACCCATGTTTATAGCAGTGCAATTTGTCATAGGTAAACCTTGGAAACAACCTAAATGCCCATCAACCGAGGAATGGATAAAAAGATGTATTTTTATACAATGAAGTATTACTCAGCTACAAAGAAGAATAAACTCGAGGCTTTTACAGGTAAATGGATGCAACTAGAGACCATACTCATAAGTGAAATAAATCAGACCTGCATGTGATTTTCTTTTATTGCTATAGCAGGTTTAAAAATCAGAACTGCCTAGTATGACAGTGAAAATCAAAGTGCAGTGTAGTGGCTCACACCTATAATCCCAGCACTGGGTAGGCTGAGGCAGGAGGATTGCTGTGAGGTAGAGGCCATTCTGGGCTACATAGTGAGTACAAAGCCAGCCTGACTTACTAAGTAAAACTATGTCTCAACGTCCCCCCAATGAAAAATGAGAAACCACCTCAGTTTTCATCATGTTGCTTTAAAACCATGAAGAACTATTAAGTGGATTGGGAAAATGCTTACTGTTTAATTTTCCATAAAAATTATAACAGAACTACAATAATATGTAAATGTTGTTGTATGTAAAACTTGATAGTTGTAGTCAGGATTTGCAAGGGAATAGATTTAATATAGGACACATTATAGGATTATTTTATAATATTCACGCAAAAAGTCAAGTGCAGAAAAGTACAGGAGATCTGTCCATACACTAGAGACCCAAAGAATCTACCTGAGGGCCTAGGTTGCATGGCAGTGTCCTGGAGGAGTCCAGCTGAAGACCTAGAGCCCACAACAATGTCTCATGCAAGTCTGTATTAAGGATTTGCACTGGGAAAGCCCAAGGGTCAGTGGTGGAAGCTGGAGAGTCTGTGCTAGTGGAATGATCTGTGCCAGCAGGCTGAGGGATCTGCACTAGAGTCAGGAAGCAATGCTTTAGTTAAGGACCAGGGTTCGCCTGAAAAGAACCGCAGTCATTCTCAGTGATAGCAAGAACCCGAGCTCCTCCGACAGTAAGAACAACTGAGTTCCTATCAGGAATACCGGTGTGACAGACTTCTCCAGAAGAATCAACAGCACCCCTTCTTCCCCTCCAGTTGTCTTTTTACACTGTTGGCGACTATACTCAGGTTGGATCCCTGGCCCTCCACTCCCTGCATCACACTGATTGAGTTCAGCCAGAAGGTACAAGTTGACCTTTAGTTAATCCACCACAGGGGTCAGTTCCCGCCCCCAGTTGTGGTGTTACAAAGTGAGGGAAATTAGGGAAGATTTTAATCTTTCTATACTTAATAGTATTTTTCCATTTTTCTGTAATATGTATGTATTAATTGAAATTGAAGGACAACCGGGTGTGATGGCATGTGCCTGTAATCCCAGCATGTGAGAGGCTGAGGCAGGGAATTTCCAAGTTCTTGCTCAGCGCAGGCAGTGCGGCAACTTAAGGAGACCTTGTGTTAAAAATAAAATAAGGGCTAGAAGCATAGCTTAGTCTGGAGGGCCCTGCTTCAGTCCCCAGTACTGTTCCCCCAAAAGTAAAAGAGAGATGGGGGAAGGAGAAAGGAAGGAAATTGAAAGATAAAAATAAGCTTTATGTTTTTAAAATTCCATTTGTTTGCTTTTTGAGACAGGGGCTTGCTCTGTAGTCCAGGCTAGCCCTTAACTTGCAATCCTGCTCTTTCACCCAACTGTTACACTCTTCTCTTCCTGCTTCCCAAGCAAGACTTTTATATTCTTGTCTGTGTTCCCTTCTCTACTTTGCCCAGAGTTCCCTTTCAGCATATTCTAACTAGTTGTCACAGTCTTCAATCATGTTCCGGCTAAGTATTATAAAGAATTCAAAGACCTTGAAAAGAAGTGTGTAATAAAAATGTCCGTAATTACTGTAGTATGCGCTTTAGGTTTAGTTGCTTTTTTGGCTGCTGCAAATGCAAAGGAATTTCAGGCATCGGGGATGGGCTCATGTAGAGATTATTTTAGGAAAGTCCACACCACAGAGACAGCTGCATGCTCTGCATGAAGGCCAGCTCTGGTCACAGTCACTATTTCTTTAGTTATGTGTGTTATGTAGTCGAAGGTAAGTACATTTTTAAAAATTATCTTGAAGTTTAAACATGTTAATATAGTGGAGCATTCTAGGAATATTGTATATAACTTTGAACTTTTTGACAAATGATAAAAACATTTAATGGTCAAAAAATAGTTGCTTTCCTTTTTTCCTCCCCCTTTTTTGTGTTAGGATAGTATTGTCTGTGGTTGCTGGAAAGATCGTCTCCCTCCAAATACGGTCTAGAAAGTTCTTAAGCTTCCCACTGGTAGAATTATATTCTGGTATACTTGCATTCCTTTTTGTATTAGAACATTTCTAGAAGTTATCTCTTCTGCATGCCTTAGAACCTATATAAGCGTTTAAGGATTTCTTATTATCTGGGTTATTGATATATGGTAAGGAGACATTTATAGTGTTACCTTTGAGTTCATTGGCATGTCAAGCTATTGTTTATTATGTTCTTAACCTACAGGGTCAGGAACAGCTATCAAACCAGTAATTTTATAAATATAGGTAAACCAGTGCATGTACTTATATATATATATATCTGTGTCTTTTCCTATGTAGAATTAGGAGTTGTCCCATGTAACTATATGGATTCGTTTGTGGTCTGGGTCATTGGTTTATCATATGATGTAATGTTAAAAAATATTCCTACTTGTAATATAAACTCGGTTGCTTCAAACAGATAATAGTATTATAGAATGCTACTAGATTAGTTTAATAGAATTTGTTCTTTAAAAGACTGCTATTTTGTACTAACAGCAGTGTGCACATTCTGTGAAAGGTTAAGCAATAGCCCATTTTCTTTTCCTGATAAACTGTCAATAAATGTCCTGTATTCTGACTTGTTTTGAAATTCACCCATATTTGTATTAAATTTGGATCTGGACATCCTGTTTTTCTGAGTTGTGTTTCTTACTTCCTTTTCCTCTGCATTAGTTTCAGTTTCATATTTAAACATTACTAAAGAAAGAAACTGCTTTAAAAAGGCTTTCCCGATTTCTGCTTTTTATCCAAGGTTGGTCCTATTTTCCATTTTATTGTGAGGTCTTGTGTTGACATATATTACAGGAGATTATTTCCATGGTAACTTGCCTTATAAAAACAATATGGTTTAAGTAGAAAAATTCTTTATATACTGATGCCAGTAAACTCCAATAATTTACTAATTTATACATCAAATCAAATATATTAGCTGGGTGTGTTGGCCCACCCCCATAATCCCACCACTGAGGAGACTGAGGCAATAGAATCACCGCAAGTTTGAGGCCAGCCTGACTACATAGTCCAAATCCAGTCTGTAATATATATCAAGACCCTATCTCAAAAAACATGGTAAAGTATTACTTCGTTAGTAGTAAGCATTCAAATTCTAAAATAACTATTGTTAATTTGATCGGAAAAGAATATAGTATGACAGATTTTTTCCTTGTATTTGTATATAATATATATTTAATTCTTGGGAAGCATAATAATGTAAAGGACAAAGTTTAAGTGAAATTTGTTGATAATAATGACACAGCAGTTTTTTTATTGCTTTCATTATACTTTGTCTAACAGTAGTGTTTACTACATCAGTACTTTAGCCACGGGAAAATTTCAGGTTTTTAAAGCCATTCAGACTTTGTTCTTTGGCAGCATTTCCTGAAGCAACCTGCTAAATGGCTTTCTAAACTATCACCCACATAAAAAAAAATAAGAAATAAGAAAGATATATATATATACCTCTTTTGAAATTCTTGTTTCCTCTGATAACAGTGGCCTTTGAGAACTATAAAAACAATTACTGCATAATACCAAGATGGTATTCACAAATATATTGAATTTCACTTCTCCAGTATTTCTAAAAGGATCTACCATTTTCTAAAGAAATTTCCTAAAGGATTTACTAAAATAATTCTGTAGAATTAATGAAAGCAGCATTTTCCCCTTGTTGTGGACATGCTGTATAATCCCTGTGTCTTACTGTGTTTATGTGTTCTGAATCAGATACATTACTATTTCTTTCAATAGAGTATATTTGTCAAGTTTTTATATATTGCCAGTCTAAGTTAATGGGTATTTTCGCTCAATGCGTTATGTAAGCCATGTAAATGATTAGAAATATTGGTTAAGTAATGTAGTAAAAAGTTCACTACGTGTAAAGCTGCTTATACTTTATTTACTAGTAGTATTTCACATGTATGATTCACATTTTCATAAAACACAAGCCTACTGTGTACATTGTATAATTTCCTACCAGGTAGACCAAATCTTTGTAGCTTTTTAAAAAACATTTATTTCATGGAAGAGTCTTATTATTCATGTTCTCTATATGATTTTAAAGATTTTAGAGGGTTAATAACATTACACCATTTTGTCCATTTTGGAGCCAACTGAGAAATGTAGAAAGCACATATATTGAGACCAAAATGTCACCCTTTTTACTGAGTAAAGGTTGGCTTGAAGATGACTTTGATATGTGGCTTCAAAGTCTTCTTAATCCATAGCCTCTGGCTCAGTCTGCTGATCCAGGTGTACAGGGCAGCTACCACACCTCTTCTGATGTGACGAAGCATTAGTACGAGCTGTGTGCAGGCAGGCTCAGCAAGCGCATTGGTTAATGTCTACCATAGTGTGTCTTCTCCAAAAGCGAGGTGCAGTAGAGCAGAGGGAAACCAGGAATGCTTCAGCTCAACTGAAGTTCCTCTTAGGAATGAAGATTTGTTTTAGCTCTAAGTGATGGTTTAATCCTAAAATTTCAGCCTTTAAGCATATGCATGTGTGTATATACGTATTTAATGTAAGTACATACAGTTGTCCCACAGTGTCTGTGGGTTTGGTTCCAGGTCCCCCACAGGTCCTGAAATCTGTGGACTTTCAAGTTCCTTATATACAGTGCAGTATTTGTGTATAACGTATTCACATCCTCCTGTGTACTTTGAATCATCTTTAGATGTCTTAAAATACTAAATACAACATAAACAGTATATAGAGTTTTTTGTTTGTGTCTTTATAATACTAAGGATTAAACCCAGAGCCTTAGCACTGAGCTGCATCCCTAGACCTATTTTTATTTTTTATTTTGAGACAGGATCTCACTAAGCCAGTAAGTTGCCCAAGCTGGGCTCAAACTTGGAATCTTCCTTTTTCAGCCTCGCTGAGTGCTAGGATTATAGGTTTGTGAGAGAGAAAAGTGTACGTGTTCAGTACAAATGCAGTTTTCTCCCCCCCCAACAAATATTGTCTATACATAGTTGTAGGTACAGAGATGGAACCCATGGATATGGAGGGCTACTGCCTCTGTATTTTAATAGGTCTTTGAAAATACATTCTTCACTTTACCCATTGTAAGCTATTATTCCTGGGCTTACATAGTTACACTTTTTGAAGTTTGCCTTTATTTTACTTTATTTTTTGTTGCGGGGTATACTGAGGATACCCTATCACTGTGTTACACACCCAACTCTTGAAGTTTACTTTTAATTGTCTTGGAAGAAATACATGCTTCTTTGAATGTTGAACACAGTCACAGCAACTTCTCTGCCCATTATGGTATGAGGTGAATATGAATCTATAGGTATTGTACAAAATTGTTAGAGAAATGGAAATTACTGTGATTTCTTTCATCCCTGCTTTCCTTGACTGTAAAGAGAAGAAAGAGCTTCTCTTAACATGCTATCTAGAGTTCTAAGCTCATATAAAAAAACAAAATTATTTTGTAATTAGAAATGCTGTGAGTTATGTGTCACTGCAAAAACACTACTTTGTAGACTGCATTTAAATATGGATTAAGGTCCCTATGAAGTAGGCTTCCATAAAAAACATGATCGTTTATAGACTTCCTTATGAGTAATGAATTTAATATGTATGAATATATAGCAAAGTTGCTGGGCGTGATGTACATGCCTGTAATCCCAGCAATCAGGAGACTGAGGCAGGAGGATCACTGTGAGTACAGGGCCAGCCTGAACTACATAGTGAGACCTTGTCTCAAAAAAAGAATACATAATAAAGTTAGAAACGTAGATTAGGAATAGAATCGAGGATCACAGTGTGCCCTACTATACCAAATTATTCGATGTAAATGCTGTAGGATTCATGGGTTGTGTCAACTTCTCCAGTAGTTTGTACATATTTAATACCTGTCCAAAACTTTAAAAATTAGTGTAAAATTTGATGTTTGCATTGTGCACAGAAATTTGTTTCAAAAGCTCAAAGCAAAAAACAGTATTTTAAAAACAAAGGTAATACTGTTACACTAATATTTACACAGTTGTCTGTCATTTTCTGAAGAATTATATTCATTCATTGGTGTGTTTTAGTGGCAAGTAATGTAGTAATACCAACTTCCAATGTTTAAACCAGAAAAAGGGGCTGGCGATTTAGCTCAGCGGCAAAGCGCCTGCCTGGTAAGCGCAAGGTCGTGAGTTCACTTCCCGGTACCAGAGAAAAACCAAAAAAAATAAAAATAAACCAGAAAAAAAAAACTTCACTTTATTTAAAGTCTCATTTTGAAGAGGTAACTTTTAAAGCTAGTTTGTGTTGTATGTAAGTAAATTTTGCAATATTTACAGTTAAACCTTACGTATGTATTTTAATATATGTTCAGTAGCTTTAGTTTTGGTTTTAGCACTCAGTTAACAAATACAAGTCAACCCTGTGAATAATATGTTTAACTTATTATCTTCTGTGTGTATGTTAGATGGAAGATAATGCCCCAAAGCATGTCATCCAGATGACAGGGTTTAAGATGGAGGAAAAGGAAGCTCTGGGAAAATTGCTTTTAAAGCTAGATTGCACTTTTATTAAGAGTGAGGTGAGTATAGAAACTTATTTAAGTGTTCAAGATATAGTTAAAAGAGTTTAAGTAATGATAAAATGCTCTTGATATTGTAAGAATAAAAAAATCTGTTATTAAAGAAGTCTTTTATAACATTTTTCATGTGAATTTTTCCTTCTAGAAATACAAAAACTGTACACATCTTATAGCCGAACGCTTATGTAAAAGTGAAAAGTTTTTAGCAGCTTGTGCTGCAGGTAAGTCAGTTGCCTTTCTCCAACCCTTGAAAAAAACACTTCCATGTTAAAAATATCCTAGCCTCAGTATAAATGAGTTTTTCCTCGTATTCTTCTGAAAGCATTTTATGTATTTTTTACATTATCCTGAGATAAAAAATTTTGTAAGCACAAATTCCTTTCTCACTTTGTCACCCTTAATACTCCTATATCTTTCTCGACTATTATTGGCATGGCATATCATTAGTCTACTGATTACCAAAAGCATTTAAGTTTTTGGTGTTTTAAAGGAGAAAGTGATAAGTTAACTCCACAAATGAAAGCATACCCTGTCCTGCTGTTTAAGTGAGTATTGACCCTCAGATAAAGAAACTGCAGAATGTTGTCATATTTTCTGAAAACCTCTTTAACCTCAGTAAATGTGTTTGACAAAGTATAAGAAATTCTGGGAATATTATTGCCAAAGTTTTTAGCATAGGTGAAAGAATGTCGATCTAACCAAAAAAAGTGAATAGATTAGTCATAGTAATTCAAGTAATACCTTTTATTTTAGATTTTAAAGCTTTAGATTTGTTTCATTTGGTAACATTTAGAATTATAATTATTTGTTATGGGAAAGGTTATATATAATATTCATTGAGATTATAGGCCTCTCAAAAATTTAGAAAAATGAACATACTTCATGATGTACTGTAAGAATCTCATGTTGGAAAAGATCAACTTTTATTTGGTATTTGTTCTTTATTATCATTATGAAGACCAAAATTCTTTTGTAACGAATACTTCATTCGCTTTCTAGGAAAATGGGTACTAACTAAGGACTACATAATTCATAGTGCCAACAGTGGCAGATGGCTTGATGAAACAACTTATGAATGGGGATATAAAATTGAAAAAGACTCCCATTATTCACCTCAAATGCAATCTGCACCTAAAAGATGGCGTGAGGAGCTGAAACGCTCTGGTGCTCCAGGAGCGTTCCACAGATGGAAAGTTGTCCTCCTTGTTAGAGCTGATAAACGAAGTGATTCTCTTGTAAGGTAGGATGAAATCTCATAAAAGGTAAACTCGTTAATGAGAAAACGATTTTGGTTTGCATGAATACCTCTTTGTATTTACTTGCATTTACAAGTTTAATCAAAATGAGCTGAGGTGATTTATTTTTTGATCTCCTAGGTAAGTCATTTTGCCCAAGTAGTGTCTGTGTCTTGAATAGAACACAGTCTGTTTTATGGTGTTGCTTTAGGTTATTCTGGTGTGCTCTGTTCTAGTTTCTATTTTATTTCTTTTGGCCAGCTCAAGCAAAATAAAAAAGAATACAGTAACTGAGAGATTTTTGTTTTCAGTTTTGAAGTACTCTTAGATTGTTGCTGTTAAAGTATTATATTATCAAAGAGGCTTTATTTGGGTTTATATTTTTACTGTTTTTAGAATTCCTCTTCTTTCCATTATAATTTATTTCCATTTTATCTTTATATATTTTTTACAGCCTTCCTATTAGGTAAACTATAGCCTAATGTGGCTACTATGCTTTGTTGGAGTGGGGGGGTATTGTCTCCTTTACTGAACTGCAACTTACAGATGATAAAGTGTACCCATTTTAAGTGTACCCTTGGGTGAATTTGGAGAGATTTATTCAACCATCTTACCTTCACTATATCAGGATCTGTAACATTCACATCATCCTGTAATGTTTCCTTGTGTCCTGTACATTTAATTCTGGACCATCAATACCAGGCAGCCACTGGTTTCCCCCTTGTCATGATTGATTAAATTTGTCATTTTTAGAGGTTAATGTATATAGGGTCTTAATTTACACTTTGATGTAGCTTCATTTCCCTATAACCATATTTTTGAGATGCTTCAGTGTCGCTGCATGTGTCATCATTCATTCTCTTGTGTTGCTCCTTTTTTTTTTTTTTTTTTTTTTTTTTTTTTTTTTT